GGGGGCATAGCCAACTTTGGGCTGGTCGTGGTGGTTTGCAGAGAGAACAAAACCCCTTTTGTCAGCGTAGGCTGCATCTACACTAGGGGGCTGTGCTGTCAGTAGAGTTGGCTTAGGCCATGACTGTACTAAAAAGTTAGATCAAAATGCAATTATGTTGATTAGGGCTATGAAAAACCCACACCCCTGAGTGATGGAGTTAAGAAGGTAACAGGGCCGGCTCCAGGCACCAGACGAGAAAGCACGTGCCTGGGGCGGCACATTGTAAGGGGCGGCTTTCTGGCCAATCTTGGGGTAGCCCATTCCGGCCACCCTGCCATTTTTTTTTTTGCTTCGGCAGTCTGGCCGCCCTTTTTTTCTTTTTGCTCGGGGCGGCAAAAAAGCTAGAGCCAGTCCTGAGAAGATCTAATCCCCAGCAGAGATCCATGGAAGAATTCTTCTGTGGACCTAGCTCCCACCTCTCGGGAAGGTGGATTAACTACAGTGAGAGGAGACCCCTTCCTATCACTGGAGTGAGTGTCTACCCTGGAAGCACTACAGCAGTGCCACTGCGGAGTTTTGTGAAGACACAGACTTTGCCTAAGAAGGAAGAGAGTCAAGACCGTAATGGAGGATGGATGGCAGGTCCCCTAACTTAGGAAGCAAGGAAATGGGAATTCCATCGGAACAGCCAGCGAGAGACATGCATGTGCCTGTCCATTAAAGGTTGACTTTGTAACCTGAAATTATCCCACAAACACTGGCAGGAGAGGAGAGGGCAGGTAAAAAGTCAAAAGACGGACTAAAAAACATATGATGTTTTATTAAAAACTCACGCTTTATAGGGCAGTCTCAAAATTGTTGATCTCTTGAGGTTGGCACTAGTGCAATTCTGCCCCACACCCCATTGTGACCCCTGCAACCCCCACATTGGCCTGTCCCTCAGGGCCCCTCTGCTCTTCCTGCAGCTTCAGTGGTTCTTTACCCACCCCATTCCCACCCCTAGTGCTGGCAAGGAGAGGGATGAGCTTTCAGGGGGTGAGAGATAGGAGAGGCCAGGAGAATGGGGAGAAAGGAGTCCTCCAAGGTCATGGAGACTTGGAGACATGGATGATGGTGGCTAAAGAAACCCATCTTTTAATTCCCGGAAGGCTATTCCCCAGTATCTCAGTGCCTGAGCTGGGATCCCAGAGTCTTCCTGACTATGGAGGACAGTGAGAAATAGGCTGCAGAGTCTAGAGGGGCAAAACCTGACGTCTCCATCTCCATCGCTGCTTCCTCTCTACGGTTTGACGATCCATTGTCCCCCATGGAGGCGCCGGGGTCATGGAGACGAGGACGTTTGAGGCTAGAGAGGCTGACTTCAGAGTCCCCAGGGGGGATATTTCCCACCTGTGTCTTAGGGCCACAGTCTGAGCCAGGATCTCCCCACCTGGAGCCAGGGTAGGCTTCTCTCCCCAATGAAAGAGGCGGGCGGGAAAGTGAAGATTGGGCCCTGGTTCTCAGCATCGAAAAATGTCACCTGCCCCCGTTCACAGTCCAGAGAAACCCGGATCCTGCTGGGGGCCTGGCTCAGGGGCAGGGGGGTCTCAGGGGAGGTGAGAGCCTGGTATTGATCTCCACACCGCTCCACAGCCCAGATCCCTCCCTCAGGGCTACGGCTGATCCATCCCTTCCTCCTCACAGACTCTCTGGCCACCCCCACGGCCCAGAATCGCCCACCCCCCACCTCCACCTCCCAGCAATGTCTCCCCGAGGTGAATCCCTCACAGCCCAGCACACAGGGCAAAATGTCAAATCGATCCGGATTGTCGGGTAGATCCTCCTCTGTGAATCCCCTTCTTGCACTTTTCCAGTCCTCTGACATGATGAGTTCGGGATGAGCTGTGTCTGGATCCAGAGTCACATTCACTGGGGAGATAGAGAATCGGAGCGTTAGGGGCAGAGCTCGGCCCTGGGGGAGGCTGGAGCCATTTCTAACATTCCCCAGCAGCCTGGTGCTGGATGCGACAGTCCTGGATCCCTGGGAGGGATCTCAGGAGGAAGAAGTGGGGTGGGGCTTTGGGGGGAAGAGGTGGGGCAGGGGAGAGGCCTCGGGGGAAGAGGCAGGGGAGGGGAGGGGCCTCAGGGGAAAGAGGCGGGGCAGGGGAGGTTCTACAACTCCTGCTGGAGTGTCCGGTTTTTAAGTATTACCAAGTTGGCAACCCTACCGGGGTTAGAGGAAAGTGTTCGGATGCAGGTTCGTGAGAGTGCTTCTGTTCCTTGGCGTGGGCATGGACTCGGTATTAAGGTTGGTGTCAGGATTGTTCATATGACTTGAGCTTAGGGTCGCCTTAGTAGTTACAATTCTCTATTTTATTTGTGAATGGGACGTGTGTCAGGAACAGTGTTAGTTTGGTTTGTAACTTCAGCTCCGGGTTCATGAAAGTGTCTTGATGGAATTTCTGTCTTCACTTGAAGACCATCTCCACCGGCAATCTCACCCTGTCTGTGCAATCCTAGGGATTCCCTTCTTCTTTTCTCCAGTTCAGACGGCAGAGTGTCTGGAGGGGGAAGGGACAGAAGAGATGAGAGAGCACGCTTTCATGTTTGAAACAACACCCCTGTAATGATCTTGGAATTCATTAAACAACACACCAGTGCATGACAAAAGAATAGAACTTTTATTAAAACAACCTAGAGAGCTTCTGGGGTGAACTGCTGTCAGGAGCAGAGGACTCTCCCTAAAAGTGGGGTGGGGGCCACCAGTGCCCAAACTGTGACCTTGCCCCCCTTCTCCCCCACCCTTGTGCCACTTCCTCTCCCCTCCCCAATCTGTAACCCGATCTATAAATTATATATATAGACTGCGTAGACTGTCGGTCCTTCATCAGTTAAGACTGAGCCGATCACAACACGTCTTCCAATCTTCTCTTAATATATATATTAATTACTTAAGAATCCCCAGTTATCACTTTGAGGGTTAGCAGGTTCTTGTCCCAAGACCGGGCCCAATATTATTCAAATTATTATATAGTTGGAAACCCCAATGTGCATAGTTGCAACACTCACACTATAAGAACTCCTCTATTATTACAAATATAGTTTATTAATACATTTAGCACAGTCACAAACTCAGTAAGGGAGATAGAGGTACTACAGAATGTACATCTACACACCCACATATTCACACCATCCCTTGCAGAATAACCTGACATGTTACCCATCATCTTCCTCATCACCATCACCTTTTTCATCATCACCCATGGCCATCATTCAGGCACCTCCCAAGAACTACATCTTCTTCTCCTACTGCCCCTAGGCTGGGATACCACTTTTACCATATGTTACTCTGCTGCCGTTATATTTAATGCATATTTAGTAGGGAATTTCCCCCTTTTCCTTATTTGTATTTCCTCCTCTTACTAATGTTGGCGTGTCTTTTTTTCTATAGGTTCATATATCATAGAATCATAGAAGATTAGGGTTGGAAGAGACCTCAGGAGGTCATCTAGTCCAACCCCCTGCTCAAAGCAGAACCAACACCAACTAAATCATCCCAGCCAGGACTTTGTCAAGCCAGGCCTTAAAAACCTCTAAGGATGGAGATTCAACCACCTCCCTAGGTAACCCATTCCAGTGCTTCACCACCCTCCTAGTGAAATAGTGTTTCCTTATATCCAACCTATACCTCCCCTATTGCAATTTGAGACATTGCTCCTTGTTCTGTCATCTGCCACCACTGAGAAAAGCCTAGCTCCATCCTCTTTGGAACCCCCCTTCAGGTAGTTGAAGGCTGATGTCAAATCCCCCTTCACTCTTCTCTTCTGCTAAATAAGCCCAGTTCCCTCAGCCTCTCCTTGTAAGTCTTGTGCCCCAGCCCCCTAATAATTTTTGTTGCCCTCCGCTGGACTCTCTCCAATTTGTCCACCTCCTTTCTGTAGTGGGGGGCCCAAAACTGGACACAATACTTCAGATGTGGCCTCACCAGTGCCGAATAGAGGGGAATAATCACTTCCCTCAATCTGCTTGCCATGCTCCTACTAATGAAGCCCAAGTCCACTGCTTTCCCCATATCCAGAAAGCCAGTTATCTCATCATAGAAGGCAATCAGGTTGGTCAGGCTTGACTTGCCCTTGGTGAATCCATGTTGACTGTTCCTGATCACCTTCTCCTCCAAGTGCTTCAAAATGGATTCCTTGAGGATCTGCTCCATGATTTTTCCAGGTACTGAGGTGAGGCTGACTGGTCTGTAGTTCCCCGTATTCTCCTTCCCTTTTTAAAAGATGGGCACTATATTTGCCTTTTTCCAATCTTCTGGGACCTCCCCTGATTGCCACGAGTTTTCAAAGATAATGGCCAATGGCTCTACAATCACATCAGACAACTCCGTCAGCACCCTCGGGTGCATTAGATCTGGCCCCATGGACTTGTGCATGTTCAGCTTTTCTAAAAAGTCCTAACCTTGTTCTTTCACCACTAAGGGCTGCTCACCTCCTCCCCATACTGTGCTGCCCAGTGCAGCAGTCTGGGAGCTGACCTTGTCTGTGAAGACCAAGAAAAAAAGCATTGAGAACTTCAGCTTTTTCCACATCATCTGTCACTAGGTTGCCTCCCCCATTCAGTAAGGGTCCCACATTTACCCTGACCTTCTTCTTGTTGCTAACATACCAGTAGAAACCCTTCTTGTTACCCTTCACATCCCTTGCTAGCTGCAACTCCAATTGTGCTTTGACCTTCCTGATTACACCCCTGCATGCTCAATCAATATTTTGATACTCCTCCCTAGTCATCTGTCCAAGTTTCCACTTCTGGTAAGCTTCTTCTTTTTTTTTTTTAAATGGAGATATCCTATGTCTTAGAACTGGAAGGGACCTTGAAAGGTCATTGAGTCCAGCCCCCTGCCTTCACTAGCAGGACCAAGTACTGATTTTGCCCCAGATCCCCAAGTGGCCCCCTCAAGGATTGAACTCACAACCCTGGGTTTAGCAGGCCAATGCTCAAACCACTGAGCTATCCCTCTCCCCCTTCCTTTTTGTGTTTAAACTCACCGAAGATTTCTCTGTTAAGCCAAGCTGGTTGCCTGCCATATTTGCTATTCTTTCTGCACATCGAGATGGTTTGTTCTTGCGCCCTCAATAAGACTTCTTTAAAATACAGCCAGCTCTCCTGGACTCCCTTCCCCCTCATATTAGCCTCCCAAGGGATCTTGCCCATCAGTTCCCAGAGGGAGTCAAAGTCTGCTTTTCTGAAGTTCAGGGTCTGTATTCTGCTGCTCTCCTTTCTTCCTTTTGTCAGGATCCTGAACCTGACCATCTCATGATCACTGCTGCCCAGGTTGCCACCCACTTCTACTTCCCCAACCAATTCTTTTCTGTTTGTGAGCAGCAGGTCAAGAGAAGCACGGCCCCTAGTTGGTTCCTCCAGCACTTGCACCAGGAAGTTGTCCCCAGCACTCTCCAAAAACTTCCTGGATTGTCTGTGCACTGCTGTATTGCTCTCCCAGCAAATGTCAGGGTGATTGAAGTCCCCGAAGAAAACCAGGGCCTGTGATCTGGAAACTTCTGTTAGTTGTCCGGAGAAAGCCTTGTCTACCTCATCCTGCTGGTCTGATGGTCTATAGCAGACGCCCACTAAGACATCACCCTTATTGCTCTCGCCTCTAAACGTAACCCAAAGACTCTCAACAGGCTTTTCTCCAGTTTCATTCTGGAGCTCTGAGCAATCATACCACCCTCTTACATACAGTGCAACTCCTCCACCTTTCCTCCCCTGCCTGTCCTTCCTGAACTCATCCATGACAGTACTCTAGTCATGTGAGTTACACTGCCAATTCCAATCACATCATAGTTCCTTGACTGTGCCAGGACTTCCAATTCTTCCTGCTTGTTTCTCAGGCTTCTTGCGTTCATGTCCAGGCACCAAGATATCTAGCCGATTGGCCTACTTTCTCAGTATGAATCAGGAGGCCTCTCCTGTTGAACCCTCCTCCTTGTGTTTCCTCCCGGTATCCCACTTCCCCACTTACCTCTAGGCTTAGGTCACAGTTCCCCAGCGAACCTAGTTTAAAGCCCTCCTCACTAGGTTAGCCAGCCTGCTTGCGAAGATGCTCTTCTCTCTCGTCGTTAGGTGGACCTCATCTCTTCCTAGCAATCCTTCTTCCCGGAACAACATCCCATGGTCGAAGAATCCAAAGCCCTCTCTCCGACACCACCTGCATAACCAAGCATTTACCTCCACAATTCGATGGTCCCTACCTGGGCCTTTTCCTTCAACAGGGAAAATGGACAAGAACACGACTTTTGCCTCAAATTCCTTTATCCTTCTTCCCAGAGCCACGTAGTCTGCAGTGACCGCCTCAAGGTCATTCTTGGCAGTATCCTGGGAGAAGTAGGAAGGGGTGGCGGTCTGAGGGCTTGATCAGTTTTGGCAGACACTCCGCCACATCCTGAATTCAAGCTCCAGGCAAGCAGCACTCTTCTCGAGTCTCTGGGTCTGGACGGCAGATGGATGACTCCGTCCCCTTAAGAAGGGAGTCCCCGACCACCACCCGTCTCCTCCTCTTGGGAGTGGTGGTCGTGGAACCCCCATCCCTAAGATAATGCATCCCATGCATTCTCAACTTATTATCATGTATGTCGGTTTGTTGCCATGGGCCGTTAGCGGTTAGGTATCTGCAAATGTAGCTCATGTACCTGTTACACATGTCAGTTCATTGCCAGGAGGCTTCTGTGGTTAAACCATGTACCTGTGGTCAAAACTTCCCCTTAAACACTCTATTTTCAGTTCCCCAATATTTGGGGTTTTCCGTTGGCCGTTTATCTGTGCAAAGTTCAAAGGCCTCAAGCCTTCTGCTAACTTGCTGAAGCTAACGTCTGACAGGATACAGGCCTGTAGGTTCCATGCATTACTGCTAAATATAAGGCAAAGCAAAATATAATGAAAGCAAGCTCGCCCACTGGGCTACACACCGACCCTACTTCCCGAGCTCCCGCCCTCGCGCTGCCATTCTCCCTGAGGCCCCGCCTCTTCTCCACAAGACCCCGCCTCCACTCACTCCTCTCCACCCCCATCGCTCGCCCTTACGGCCGGTGAAAAGCTATAGGGCCCTGGCCCCCGGCTCCCCGTGTTCCGGCGCCCCGATTGCTGTACGCAGCTACACTGAGTTCTCAACCCCAGCTTCCAGGGCACATCTCTAAATTCCTGTATTCATAATCCTGTCCCCTATGAGGGAGTGTCGCTAAATTATAATCTTCCACAAACATCTCTCTACAACCCCCACTCTGACTTGACGTAACTTTGGTTTAATAGTGAGAGAGAAACAGACAGAGATGGACAGACACACACTCAGGTCTTTAATTAAAGCTAATCCCAAACCTTCTCTTTCCTCCTGGCCCCTCAGATCAACAGAATCCACTTCCATTAACCCTCACCACATGCCAGGAAGTATTAGCTGTAAGAAAGCTTGACGGCTCCCTCATCCTCTCCCTCCCACCCCCAGACCCCAGCTGGTGTGTCACATTCACCCGCTGCATTTCGTCCTAACCTAGACCCAGATCCTGCAAAGACTTTAGCATGAAAGTGACTTGCCACACTTTGACATTAATGGGAGCTTAAGAATTTGCAGGATCAGGGTCCTTTGTTGTAACCTTTAGGCCTGTTTACTCAGTGTCTCTACTGAGCTCGGCACAAACGGGGTCTTCGCCCTGGATAGACTGAAATGCGAAGAATTGTATCCTTTTACAAATGCAGAAACTGAGGCAGGAAGAGGTTCAGTTCAATGGGCCAGATTCACCTCTGCACTGGCAAAGAGATAGAGGGGAGGCAGGTTGGGTCTTCCCTACTCAGTGGCTAATGCAAAGCTTGGCACAGGGAAGTCCTGCAATCCAGACAGATTTGCATCCTTGTGTCAGCGACCTCTATGGGGCTTTGCCGGCCAGCAGAGTATACGAGAAACAACTTCATCCTGGCGACACCTCTTTATCCCGGTCCACCCCCTCCCTGCTCCAGTGTGCCCTCACCAACTCCACTCCATGCCCAGGCACACTCCTTGTGCCAGCAGCTGCTGTGGAGCAGGAACAAGTGGCTTCTGTACTAGAGGGATTCCCTCGGGATGGGAGAGGGGTTTGCATCTTTCCTACAGCCCCTTTGGCCCAAACTAGCTGGTACACGGGGCCAGAGCACAAGGATGGGCCGGGTCCCAATTTCAATAGTGGCCTTTAATTTAGGGTCTACATTTTGGATGCTGAACTTTAGGCACCTGGGGCCTGGTTCACAGAGGGGTTGGGCACCTGCAGGTCCCACGGATTCCACCCGCAGCTGTGGACGATAGAAGTTCTGCAGTACACGCCCTGCAGTTCTGCAGCTGGACGAGATACACCGAGGTTCCAAAAATTTGGCCATTTTGCTAAACCTGGACCTAAATAATTTACTAAAGGAGACCGAATAACTCAACCCTTGCTGGATTTGTTCAGGTTGTCTGCTTCACTTTTCTTATTGAACGGATTCATAATTTCATAGAATATCAGGGTTGGAAGGGACCTCAGCAGGTCAACCCCCTGCTCAAAGCAGGTCCAATCCCCAACTAAATCATCCCAGCCAGGGCTATGTCAAGCCAAGCCTTAAAAACCTCTAAGGAAGGAGATTCCACCACCTCCCTAGGTAACCCATTCCAGTGCTTCACCACCCTCCTAGTGAAAAAGTTTTTCCTAATATCCAACCTAAACCTCCCCTATTGCAACTTGAGACCATTACTCCTTGTTCTGTCATCTGCTACCACTGAGAACAGTCTGGATCCATCTTCTTTGGAACCCCCCTTTCAGGTAGTTGAAGGCTGCTATCAAATCCCCCCTCATTCTTCTCTTCTGCAGACTAAATAAGCCCAGTTTCCTCAGCTGCTCCTCATAAATCATGTGCCCCAGCCCCCTAATCATTTTCATTGTCCTCCGCTGGACTCTCTCCAATTTGTCCACATCCTTTCTGTATTGGGGGTCCAAAACTGGACGCCATACTCCAGATGTGGCTTCATGAATAAAAGGGAATAATCAGTTCCCTGGATCTGCTGGCAACACTCCTAGTAATGCAGCCCAATCTTCTCCCACAGTCTCTAGACTCATCCCAATTTCCGCTCCTCGATCCCATCTTGGTACCTTTGAACTTCTTCAGAGTCTCCGCTAGAGCACTATTATTCTGAGACAACTCTCCGAGTCTCTTTTCCAGCTCCGAAGACATCTCCACGGGCTGCTGGACCTTCCCCTTCTCACACCTGGAGAGAAAATGTCACATTCTGGTATTTCGTTTAGTGACACATCATCATTTGTCGTCAGTGAAAGTTGCTGCTCTAATGGGCCTGAAATTATAATTCTTCGGCTTCTCCCAGCCTCAGAGCAGGTGCAGCACAGGCTGTGGCCGTACAACCTTCCCCCTGAAGATCCCATTAATATTCTTCAGCTCTGGCCTGGAGAGACCGGCTCTGGGGCAAAACAGGAACTGAGTCTCCACGGCCAATTCACTCCTGGGCCTCCCTGCTGGTCTTAGTGTTGTAGCCATGTGTGCACTCGGAACTGGACTGATTCATTACAAATTAAGTCCTGAATAGATGTAAGAGGTGCCGGGGCTCAAGCAATTTTTTTATTTTCATAAGTGACGCGGCAAGCCCAGAGGTGCCAGGGCGATGAACATGGGCGCCAGGTTTGTATAATTTTTGGTGGTGCCCAGAACGGGTCCAAGCAGAGCCATCCCGTCCATAGGATGGACCGGGGCAACCATCCCGGGCCCAGCGCTTCAGGGGGACGTGGGGTCCAGGACGGCCTGGGGGTTAGTGGGGAGTCTGGCGCTAGCAGCAGCGAGTGATGCGGCCCCAGCCCACCCCACTCTGTTCCGCCCCACTGGCTCCCGGAGTCGCTCGGGGGAGGGGGCGTAAGCCAGAAAGAGGCGGGGCAGGGGATTGGGGTAAGGGATGGAATGGGGAGGGGAAGGGGTGGAGCAGTAAAGAATCTTGATG